AGGCAAACCACGGGTGTGAAACCAACCGTGGGCCATTCCCCTCGCCAGGCGGCGGAGGTCATCGTGAGGGACTCTCCCAAGGTGGTCGAGCGGCACCTCGGCGGATGTTTTGGGCGGCGGCGCTTCCGCCGTGAGTGGGTGGTCATTGCTTGGCGGTGCCCAGTGAATCGCGCGCTTCCTTTAGGTCCTAGGTGTTTCGTGGTTTTTAGTTGGCTTCGTGGTTGGATTTGCCATTTTTCACTAAAAGTTAACAACTTTTAGCAGGGCATCGAGCCCAGATTGGGCTTCTGAGCTTGCTGGTTCGATCGGGGAATGAGAATTGGGATGGCCCGTGGAAATCGTTCCAGAGATAGCTTCCTTTCAAGGAAGCACCGGAACGGATCAAGACCCAACACCCGAGCTCAGTCAATCCCTATCGCACCGGCAAGTCAAAGAGGGGTTGTGTTTCGGCCACTCACTGAGTTTTGTTGGCTCCTTTGTTCTTTTCAGAAACCGATCGCTGTTTCTTCTGTGCTTTTGGTTTCCTGAAAAGACTCATCTTCCCCTGCACCTTTGGATCTCCTTCCTTTTAAGCAAACCACTAAGCCGAGTTTTGGCTTCCGACTCGCAAAAGACCTTCTGGAAGCGAAAGGCTCTTCCAGACCAGACGGTTTGCTCAGGGAAGAGAAGCCAGGAAAAGGGCCGGTTTAGTGTGTGGAATTCCACCTGGTTGAAAAAGGATGCACAGGACGGCCTGCTCAAGCAGCCCAGCTTTTTGTGGTTGGGTGGAGTGGTTGTTGCTTTTGCAGTAGAATTTACTGCTTCACACAGCTAGCGGGCACTGCCCTCGGACAGCAGCAGAGAGAGAGAGAGAGAGAGAGAGAGAGAGGAGTGGGTTTGGTCAGTTTTGGGCCCAGGACGCACCGAGAGTCTCCCTCAGCGCTGTGCCCCCTGCACATTGCCATCCTCTGCGGGAGCTATAGCATCGTGGAACTTTTGTTGGACGGGAAGGCAAATCCCAACGCGCCCTGGCGCTATGGCGACTTGCGGGATTGGCTTCAGGAGGCAGAGGAGCGACCATGTAAACCACCACCATCTTGTTAGCAAGAATCAAGCGTTTTTGCGGCATCTCTCTTGAACAAATGTCGAAATTCTATCGTTCACTAAACAATAGATTCACACATACCTATGATTGTTGGTTGGGGCAGGTTTTGAGGTAGACACCGTCCTAAGGCACCTCGAACAACCTTGGATCACCTATATACACGAGAACGGCCCGCCGTGGGGCGTGTGTTTTGGAAATCAGCCTTGGCACGGATGGACCCCCAAAACATGTATTCCAAGTGGCATGTGGCCCAAACATCAATGTGAACATCATGTGAAAAGCTGTTACTACATATTATGATACCTACCATATAATAAGATACAATATATCTATGAAAGAAGGAAAGGTAGTTCATGGGGGGTGGGGGCTGACCATATATATATATATATATATATATACACATACCTGAACCCTCCAAAAGTACTGAAATTTCCGTACATGCAGAAAAAAAGTGTCAATGTACACTTTTGAGGAAATTTGACGGAAATCGCTTTTAGCAAGCTGTGAGCGTTTGTGGTGCACTTGGATGCACATGAACACAGTTTGCACTTTACACGGCCCGTCATACTTAATTCCGTTTCAGGTCTTTCGTCTCCAATTGCTGTGGGGCAATGTGTGACAGCTTCCTTGCCGCTTTTGCGAGTTTGCAGTTTTCTCAGCCAAAATGCAGAAACCGCAAATGCACGGAAATCGGCGGGAAATGCACGGAAATCGGCGGGAAAAGTACGGAAATCTGCGGAAAATGCACGGAAATCAGCGGAACATTTTCTTGAGGAAATGGGCACCTTTTGTCCTTGGTGAATTGCACACCTTCAAATGGTATGAGCATGACAATCTCCAGTGCCATGGCCGGAGCTGAAAGTGAGATTCTTGTAGAAAAAGGTAGCAAAATGCTCCTGTGTCTTATGCTGAGCCTGCAAGAAAAGTACAGTTTTTGCTCAAATGTATGGATTTCAAGGAAATGCACGGATTTTTGCAGAGAGTCGCAAAAAAAGTGCCCTTGGTTGGTCCAGGTATGTATATATAATTGTTTAAGGGTTTGGGGCCAAGTGCCCTAGGAGAAAGCCCGGCTCCATCCCTCCTGGCTCCCGGCGGGTTGGCGCGTTTCGAACACTCGAGGTGCGGACGCTGCACGACGTGTCGCCGTTGCACCTCGCGGCCACCACCTCCAAGGAGTGGCTGGGCGCGGTTTTCGGGGGGGCCTTTGGGGGGGGGGCCTTTGGGGGGATTCTGCTGAGGATATGCCTCTTTCGTTTTTTCCCCAGCTGAAAGCTTTGGGGTCTCAGTCCAGATAGGCTGCGGGGTGGTGCGGGGCGGCCCTCCACGAAGTTCTGCGAGGGCTGCGATCACCTGAACTTATTCTTAAAAACGGGGTCCCCGTTTCTGTGATTTTAAAGGTACTGTCAACCGAAAAGAAGCCACAACAACTTCCCTCCAATCAGATCATGGACCCGGTGGTCCACTTGGATTGCGATTTAGGGTAGACATGGAGTCATTCCTCGAGTCTCCCTGGATCCAATGAGTTCCGTTTGTTCATGGGCAGTTTGAGGGTATACTGGAGTCTCTTTTAAATATGGGTCCATGACCCCTTATTCTTGGGTAATGAACAACCATTTTTTAAGGGTCATGGAGACTCCAGGTCCCACCAACAAACAGAGAGCTCGTCATGGGAGCTTGGGAGGGCCGGGGGACCCGTGCGGAGGTCAGAAAAGAACGCTGCCGGGATACAAAAGATAAGGATATACCCCTTTCGTTTGGGTCATCCCGTGTTTGATTTCGTGTGAGATCGAGAGACTTCGGGGACATTTTTTGTCTCACAAGGCATGGCATAGTTTCCTATATCCTCCTTGGCTTCTGGCTGACCATACCTCTGCCAAACTTGACTGCTTCACGCAGCACACACTGCTTGCCCGGTTTGACAGGAACGATATGAACCGCTTGCCCGCCAGGAGCTCTGCCAGCTGCTGCTGGCCTATTCTGCGGAGAGTTGCCAGCACGACGTCATGGGCGCCTCGCCGCAAGTTGGACGGGAAGGCTTCCCCAGAAGCCAACCCCCACGGAGACCGAAAGGCGAAAAGCGCTGGGCGCCGCCGGAAAATGATGGAAGCGCTGGAAAGCAAAAACGCCACTTCCTAACTTTGGGCGACTGAACTGGAGGCGACTTGATCAAGTTGAAGTCCAATTGTGGTTTTTGGACCTTCAGAATCCCGACGGAGTAAGTTGATTCCCCTGTAAATACCAACGCACGATATATGGTTTCAATCGTGGTTTCTTAGGTGGCGAACGGAATTTCGCAACCACCCACAGCAAGTCGACCAATGCCCTTTATTGATGAAGCCACAGGAGATCGGACACCGGCTCTCTAGAGAAGGGTACGTGTGTTTTGAAGCCTCGCTCCCTGGGATCATGGACTTTGTGGCCACTTTTCGGGATTGGGCCAAAACAAATAGCGGCAAACAAGAACTGCGGGTGCTTTTTCCGGCCAATCAACTCAGGAAGTGAGTTTCAGGAGGGACAACTGTGAGTAAATCAATGTTCATGGTTGGAACTGATTGAAAAGTGGTTCTGACGACACATGTGTTGCGTGAATTCTTGTTTCCACTAACCGATTCTCAAGCAAAAGTCTTACCTGGACCTCAAAGACCCAACGCGCAATTGCTTGCTGCCCCAAAATGGAGGGGCGCTGTCTGTTTCTTATGCGTAGTTCGGTCGGGTCCAGGTATCCATAGCAGAACTTCAAGCCCTCGCCGGAAGACATCCGAAGGATTTGACGCACCAAGGGTCACCAAGGTGACAACCACGAAGAAGTTGCTAGTAGTACTTTGGTTCTTGGCCATCGGTTTCGTGAGGGTTTTAGTTGTTTTTGGTTGGTTTTGTGGGGGGGGGGGGGAGGATTTGGGGGGGTCCATTCACCCCATTAAAGAACTAGAGGTTTTAACTGTTTGGTTAGTTTAGTGGTTGGGCTTCCATTCACCCAGTTAAACTTTAGCAGGGCATCAGAAAACGGACAGCCCTTTGTGATACCCAGGAGACTTTTCTTTAGTCATGGACCCATTGCAGAGGGCCGTGGGGATCCCTTCAAGCCTAGGGGGGCCATCGTGTGCGGGAAGGAATGGACGCCCCTTGAAGAGGGTTTGTACCCGACAGAGTCTCTTTATTTTCCTCGACCACGCACATAGTTATTTGTTTGGGTGAGTTCATCAGAAATAGTGTGATCATGTCCCTTTACTTGTCCAACACCCAGTGTTCAAACTGTTGATCTTGCATTGTATTTGTTGGCTGGAACCCATATCTGAAGTGAGGCTTGTGACATGGGATTTGAGCTGCTTGTTTTCTACGGGCCTAGGGAGCAACGCGGTGCACTACGCCGCCACTTTCAAGCAGCACGAGGTGCTGGAGATCCTGCTCAACACGCCGCAGGCAGGAATGGCCATTTGGTCGACCCCGCTGGAACCGCAACAGGTGCCCTTGCTGCTAGTTTGCTCAGCCCCAGGTCCAACCCAGGGACGTTTGGCCGCCCCCAGCAACATTTGTTGAGAAACAGTTTACTGTGAGGGGTTCTAAATTCATTTAAAGTGACTCGCCTATTGCCAAGCCCTAGCCTGGATGCCTGGCACGGCTCTCGCGGTGGACGGTTTCATTTGTCTCCCTTTGTCTCCCTTCATTTGTCTCCCGTTGTCTCCCAGCCTGGATACCTGGCACAGCTCTCTGGGTGAACAGATTCATTCGTCTCCCATTGTCTCCCAGCCTGGATGCCTGGCACGGCTCTCTGGGTGGACGGATTCATTTGTCTCCCTTTGTCTCCCTTCATTTGTCTTGTGTTCTTCCGTTGTCTCCCACTCTGGCACGGCTCTCCGGGCGGACGGGTTCATTTGTCCCCCTTTGTCTCCCTTCATTTGTCTCTTGTTGTTTCCCAGCCCGGCGCCTCCCTTTGTCTCCATTTGTCTCCCCTTGTCTCCCACTCTCGGCCAGCCTGGATGTTTGGCACGGCTCTCCGGGTGTGGGTGGACGGTTTCATTTGTCTCCCATTGTCTCCCAGCCTGGATGTGGCACGCCTCTCCGCTCATTTGTCTCCCTTTCTCTCCTTCTCGTTGTCTTTCAGCCTGGATGCCTGCGCTCTGTCCCCGGTTGTCTCCCTGCCTGGATGCCTGGCACGCCCCCCTGGGTGGACGGATTCATTTGCGGTGAATTCCGCGGGCACGCATGTGCGTTTGAGGCTCAGAAACAATTGTTTGAGCGCGCGCATGCGCTTGATCAAGCACAGGCAGCATGCTGCGGATGCACGCATGATGCTTCAATTGAATGAGTGTGTGTTCTTGGTGTGTTCCAGCTGACCACATCGGCGCGTTGCAAGTGAACCCAAGTTATGGAATGGGCGCTTTCCAACTTGCTTATGCGTAGTTTGAGGGACCATTATATATTCATATATAGCAAATTTTCCCGGGCCGTCGCAATTCCCTGAAGAAATGGTTATTGCCCCAAAGTTATGATTGGTGAAACCCAGGGTTGTGGGATCAAGGGGTTTCTCCCCACCCCTTTATTTGAAGAAAATAGTCTTTGGGAAGCCCTTTGCGTTGTATCACAGAAATGGTCATTTCCCACAACCCTGGTGAAACCCCCTTTGTTCCTGGGTAGCTCTTCCAGGTCCAGGGGAAAAAGCCTCGTATGCAGGCGCCGCGTCTGGCGGCGGAGGGGGACCAGAAGCGGGTCACGGCTCTGCACGTGAGCTGCGCGCTCTTCAGCGGCCAGACGGAGCGAAGGGTTGAACGGGGAGGCTTCAAGCCGCGGGGTTCCTGAAGCCCCAAAACTAGCCACTCACTGGCTTTCAGGAAAATCTGTGGTTGAAAAGTGTGTTTTTGATATACATATATATATATATATTGTTGAAAAGTGTGTTTTTTGGTTCTATCATTTCTCCAAAGTGAGTTGTTTATCGTTTTTCTAAAAGGAGCAAGGCGAGTCGACCGGATCTGACCTTTTGACGTTTTCCAATTCTTGGTTCATTTTTAGTAAAGGTGCCAAAAGCTTTTGCCTTGTCGTTCTTGGTCCTTTGGGCACCCGAGCCCATGAAGCAGGGGCGAAATCACCAACCGGAATTTTGGGTTGCCATAGCCCATTTTTGAGGGGCCAAGTGGCAAGGTGCCAAGGAAGGAACCCGAATTCAAGATGGGACTACCTGAGAGGAGTTGTTCGGCAAAGAAGCGAACAGCACCATGTAGGGTAACGGCCTGTGGCTGGTGGCGAAATCCTCTTCTCGCACCACCGCAGAAACCATCAGTGAAACTGAAACCACTGTTCATTGGTATTTACAGGGGAACCACCATTCCAGGGTTTGTTCGGTGGTGCAGGATATCGTCTGTCCACAGTAGCAACTAACAAGGAAGTGTTTACAACCCTTTCTGAGAGGTTTGTCTTGTAGCAGGGCTGGCAAATTGTTATTAGGTAATTTTATAGACTTGCCATTTTGGGTTTGGGTAGTCCGCTCAGGAATGTTTTGAGACCAGGTGACCTGGTTGTCACCCGAACTTGCTTGTTGGTTTGGTTGACTCCATGGTTTTTGGTTCATGCGGGTTACTCAAAGGCCGTTTACATGGGGTGACCATGTGGGAAACCGCCACAACAGATTATTTTCACCACTAAATGGGAAACGTTATGGTCACGTGCCTCCTCATGCGTTTTGTTGTTTGATCTGTGTTGTTCATTGAGTATCCGAGCATGTTCTATAGAACGTCACCATTACTAGACGTGTCTGTCCGTTTTGCCTTTTGCGCCCGTTTTCCCGTGCCCCTGCAGCCCTTTTGTATTTGCTCTTTTTTTTGCCAGCAACAGTTTGATTTTTTCGAGTGGTGCTTGGACCATGCCAATTGTTTGGAGCTAAAGATGGGTACATAAACCTTCTCATTTTCATGGAGCTGGAAGGCAGTTTGTCTGACATATTTCACGCGCCAGGTTGTGCGAAGGTGTTTTCATGGTGTATGTTTACAAGCCACCAGGGTAGACTTAAACCCAGGGCTGGTTCGTCCCAAAAGGGGAACTTTTCGGTTCAAGTCTATCTTGAGGTCAAAAAGTGGAACCCCGTAGCCCTTAGTTGGTCTTGTGGAGGGATGGAAAAACCACCCAGTAACCCATCAGATCCACCCATCATAGAGATGATCGAGGAGACTGTCCCTGATAGAAAGCCTTGTAAGCATTTGTTGTTTCAGTTGGACAAGAGTCGGAGGATGTTGTCTCTGAAAAAATGAAGTCTCTGAATTTACAGACTTCTTAAAATATATAAAGGAGGAATTGAATACCTCGCCCTCTTCTTACTGAAGCCCGAAATGATGGTGCTTCCATTTGCTTGAGAGTATACTTTCTATTTTCCCTTTTTGGTTTTAAAGGGAATCGATTTCACTCGTGGACATATTTTCTCATTTTTGCCAGAGGTCTTAACCAAATGGAAGATTCGGTGAGATCAGATTCAGGACCAGCTGGGTCCCATGCTGCTCCTGGCCGCAGGGGCCAAGCCTTGGCAATCCGATGTTTGAGTCCCAGGTCAATCAGAGGACCCCCGCCCCGAAGACGCCTTCGCGTCTTCGGTCGGGCGGGTTGAAGGGGCGGAAGGGTCCCCAGCTAGGTGCCCGTTCTTACCGACTCTTTTGGTTGGGAGGGTTCCCCTACTGCAAAATGGACAGAACAAAGTGGGTAGCCTTATTCCAACCTCTCTACTGGAGGGCCTAGAAGGGGTTGAAGGGGTTGTTAATGGTTGGATGGGGGGTGCCAACCCAGTGCAGATGGTTGCCTTCACTTCTTGAGTTCCTGGACTTCAAACAAATCTTGGGAAGAAAGTCTGAGGGATAAAGCATTGATACAAAGTTTGGGGGACTGGCTTGACCAATCCACTCGATTGGAAGTGAGTTGTGATTTTTCAACCAGTTAGGATTTAAAAGGGAATCTCTCACTGGTGGTTCCCAGCCATCCCCTTAGTTTTTTTTTGGTTTTCGGTTGTTAGGGTTTAGTGGTTGGGTTTCCATTTCACCCACAAGGTAAGCTTTTAGCAGGGGATCAGAAAACGGACAGCCCAGTGTCACTGGACAGAGCCAGACAGCTTCAGACAAACCCCAGGGTTGAAGGGTCTGTTGTGTGCGGTCCGGGTGTGGGTTTGCTCTGAAGGCTTCTTTGTTTCATTTTGCTTGGATGTTAGGACTTTAACTTTTTGCCAACAAATGGGTTTTCCATTAAACCACTAAAAGTTAAACTTTTAGCAGGGGAGCAGAAAGCAACCAAGGCTTGGTGTTCTTTGTTTCGTTGGGTTCAAGTCAATGTTCTTGGTATGGTATGTTTCAAGTTGCCCTCCCACAAATCAACATAGAACCTGACGTTCGCGGGTCCCTTGAAAAGGACAATGTTTCAAACCAGGATCCCCAGAACGTCAGGTTCTATGTTAATTCGGTGGGTTCTCGTATTGAGCTGATGTGGCCGCCTCAAAAAAAGTACTCAAAATGGCACCTTGGCGTGTGGGAACAAAGGCTAACCCCTGCGTAACCCCAGCTGTTCGAAATTTTGGGGCCACCCATTTTCGAATTCCCTTCAAAATCAGCCAGACCAGGTCTGGTTCATCCGATTTTAAGGTTATGGTTATATTTGGGCTGCAAAGAACAATGTTGGTTGCTGACATACGGCTTCTTGCATATCCGCTGTGTAGGTTAGCATCCAGGTAATAAGTTGCCAGAGGATTTACCCTACATACTGCGGATGGACAAAATTCTGTACCACCTAAGAAGCCCTGGAATGATGATTCTGCAGATTCCCCTCTAAATGCCAACAATCAATGGCCTCAACCATGGCTTCAATGCACTTGCGAAACGGGGGAGTCATCCAAGTTGCGAAGGGTTTGCCTTCGAATAAGCTGCAATTCCTACCTGAACCCTCAAACTCAACAAAACGGGAACTCACCCATTCCATCATTTGGGGTTGCAACAACCCATTTTTAAGTTGGAAGTTTCAAGGTCCAGGTACCTTGTGACCCTTAAAAAATGGGGTCATTACCCAAAATAAAGGGGTCATAGACCCATTTTTAAAGGGTCACAGAGACTCCAGGTATATATATATATATATACATATACACACACTGTTCAAGGGTATACCATCCAGGGAGCCTTCTGTCCAAAAAGCGCCCAGAAAGTTCTCAAGGTCTCCGGATCCTCGGCCAGAGATGTGGTGCAGCTCGGCATATTGGGCCTGTGCTCGGAGTAGGTTACTCACTAAGTCCCCCTAACCTGCCAATTTGCTCGGATTTGATACTCTGTTGCCCAGTGGCGCCCTTTTTCCCATTTTTTTTTGGGGGGACGGGTTCCCCTTGAAGCTCAACGGTCCTTTTTTCCCCTGGCCACTGGGCATCTGAGTATATGCTTCATTTTCCGCTCTTGGCTTGGAACGGAATCCATCACTGCTGGAAACATGTTTGTTTGCTTTTTTTCCCAGGGGACCCCTATCAATCGGTGCCTTGGAGCTCGGTTTGGAGGTGTTTTCTGGGGGTGGTGTCCCAACACCCCCCACCGAAAAGAACCAGGGGTTCAAATCCCAAACCGCCACCAATTAGGGGTCACCGTGTTTTCTCCCAAGATTCCACCTAGAAGAAACAATGAAGAAACCAGGGGTTCAAATCTAAACCCTAAACCCTAAACCGCCACCAATTAAGGGTGACCTCACCAGTTGCAAGTGGGTCACCTTGGTGTTACAAAGAGTTGTGACGAACTTGGCCGGAGGGAGTATGTCGGAATTGCGCGGCTGGTCTTTCGGTGACTTTTGGTTGGAGGGGGTGGGCTGCTTGAAAAAACAAGAACCAAAAGAGGGCACACTTGTTATGGGTCTCTTCTTTTGGTTCATTGAATCCATTCAGTGGGTGTACTCTTTTTTGGGGGGGTAAGGAGAAAGCAAAAGGAAAGCCGCGAGGATGTTTCTCTACTGGAAGACCTAGTATGTTAGTGTAAGGGAGGGCAAACCAACCCGTTCGGCTGCTCTTTTTGGCCAATCCACTTGATCGGAAGTGAGTGCTATGTTTCAAGGTCCAATACATCGAGATCCAACATATCTCTCACTTGCCCAAAGCCGACCTTTTGACCTGTTGGTTTTCCCCTTTTGGTCCATTTTTAGTAAAGGTCCCAAAAGGTTAACTCTGTATTTCCAGGTCCTTTGGGCAAGTGAGATCTTGTTTTCCTCTGGGCAGATGAGGAAGTACCGCATCGCTCCAAGTCTTGGGGAGACCAAGAAATGGTCCCGTTTAGGGGAAACATCAAACATCAATCTAACCCCAAAGAACCCCGCTTCCTTTAGCCCAGACTACCTGAAATTGGTGGTTTGGGGCTATGACCCCTGGCTCTTGTGGAGGGTAATGGGAAACCACCACCAAACCACAAATCCAAACCGCCAATCAGAGAAAAGCTGATTTGTTTTGGAGAGGGCTCCGTTAAATCAAATACCTAGACCTCAAACTACCCATCAAAAAACGTGGGACTATTCACCAATCCCGTCATTTTGGGGCTGGCTAATATCATTTTTGAGTAAGTTATGCTTTCTTTAAAGAGGGAATTCACCAACCATCATTTTGAGCAACAACCCATCGCGTTTTTTCTTCTTTTTTTCCGGGTCGCACTTACATTATGAGTCACCACGCCACCCGCACTTTTGGCATCTCACTTCACCAAAGTCATTTTTAGATCGGAGTTTCTTTCGGTCCCTTGCGTTATGAGTCGCCACACCAACCTACCAACTTCACCAAGGTCATGTTCGAGTTTTTTGTTTTTTTATTTTTCTCTGGGGGTCATTGGAGCATTGGATTTCACTGCCTCCGTTGGGCTGAACAAAGATCTTATGGGAGCAGCTGAGGGCCTGTGAGTTGGGCTGGTGCCTTTGGGGAAGAGACATCCTGGACCCTGAAGTTACCAGGGGTGCCTCCAGCGGGTCTCTCCAGGCGCAGAAAGTTGGGGAACCCACCGACTCCACAAGGTTGGGTTGCACGAACTCGTTTTTAAGCTGGCATGTTGAGGGTCCAGGTGTAGATCATAGGCTGCGGTGGAGGAATAACCGATTTGGGTTTCGCAAGTTGACATTTCGAGGCTCCAGGAACCAATAAGAAAACCGTTGCGCCGTTTTGGGGGGGGTCCGGTTCCCAGAAAAGACGAGCCACCCATGTATTGTATTGAGTTTGATCGGCCCAATATGCCAATTCCATTCGGAACATCAAATCCGCGCAGGTTTGGCGTTTGCCCCCACCCGGGGCCACCGAAGGTTTGTCACACCTCGAGGGGGTCCTTGCACTTTTCCACTACTTGTTGGTACGCGATGGTTCCCGAAGTCAAGTCGTGGTCGGCTCGACTGAAGGCCGTACGAAGGCGGAGAGCTGATGAAGTTCTTCGAGAGCTGTGGGGACAACTCCAAGGCGCTCCGAGTTGAACATGCGCCGAAGTTCCTGGACCCGAAAGAGCTACCTGGGACCTGGACCCAAACAAAATTGAACTTTTTCTGGGCAGTTTGGGGGTCTAGGTACCCTTCCTCCATAGCACCTGCCAGGGGGTCCCTTAAGGATATGGATGCAGGTGCTTTACAGGTGCCATGCCATGTTAGCAAAAAATATCTCAGTGGAAGGAAGGGTACCCCCGAGAAACATGCGGCAAGTCAACCTCTAGCTTTTAGAACGATCTCCCTAGCTACTGGAACGGGCATTTGGGCCCTGAAGCATGGGATATGTCCCATTTGTTTTGTTGAAGGTCCAGGATTGCACTTGTGTTGTCCAAGTTTGGCCAGATGATTTTGTCAAGTTTGGGAGTTGCGAAACGCAGTAGGATTGCATCCAAGCGAGGCCAAAACTGACTTCTCAAAAGCCGAATGGTTCCATCTTTGGAACTGTTTGTTTGTTGTCTTCATTTAGTGGCGGCTGGAACCCAAACAACCTAGAATTTGAAAAGGGTAGCAAACCAACCGCGCCCTTACGACTGCGAAACCGGGGACATTCATTTCCAGTCGAAAAGTCCCCAGTTTTAAGTTGTTTTCGGCATTGAGGTGAAGTTGGTATGTTGGAGGTGTAGGGACTCATGGTTCGTGTTGCTTCTCCCACTGCAAACTATGCAGCCTTCGAGTCTGGCACTCTCCACGTCGTACTCCGAGTTCGGATGAGTTCTGGAGCCAGATGGATTCGGATGCCCCCCCGATTTGGATTTGTTTGGGGCAGCCAGTGGTCGCTGCGGGGGAAATTCGATTTTGGTTTAGGTAGTAGTACCGTCAGTAGAGTGGAAAATCGGGTTTGAGGGACGTGGTATCAAAGTGATTACGGGAATGAGCCGTAATAATTGGTACCTCCAGAACAGTGGACAAAGTCCATTTCACACCAGTTGGGATAAATGAACCCCCGTGAATGGAATAATTAGAACACCTATACCAGCTGCAGGATTCCGTCCATCCGCCCATTCTTTACAGGGAGTTTCTCGAAGTGGTGCGAGGAAAAACAACCTTTTAGTTGATAGGGAAGCCCAAAAAACACCAACCATCGAACCCTTGAGCGACAGAAAAACGGGTGATCCACTTACCACTGGATGTTCCGTTCGCCAGGTTGCCGCCCAGAACTGGCTCGAGGAGAGATGGGCAAGGTGAAGAACTCCCTTTGTCCCATGATTTGCTCAGGCCTCGTTTTCTTTGGTGGGGGGGGTGATTCACCGTTTGCTCAGGCGGAGCTACCCAGCATGGGCGATTTTTACTCCCCAATGTTTAGGATTAAGAATCCCGTCCCATTATTAGGGGGTGAAAACCCCTCCAAAGGTGATGAATCTTTTGGAGTCAGATCCGGAGACTAAAGGTAGGGTGACATTCGGTCAAGTGAGGCCAAGACTCCAGTCGAGCAACACTTCGCGGCTTGATAAAGCCCCTGGCAAGCAAAGCAAAGAAGTCCATGAACCCAGGAGAGAGACGAGCTTCCTCATGGTGAATCTTTGCCTGAGAACAATCCACCGAATTCTCACGTCCACCCAGGGGTCCCCTGCATGATTCTTACGTTTGTGATAAAACGGGCTCGCCCGTGATGAACATCCTTTGCTGGATGGTTCCCTTGCCGGTTTGTGAACTAAAGCAATTTGCCCAAGTGCGTGCGACGTTCTTCGCATGCCGTAAGTGCGGGTTGCGCAGGACTACTTGCTGAAATCTCGTGACGACGCCACTGAAGAGAGTGACGATGAAGACTGGCAGGACCTAAGCTTTAAGTGCAAGCCGCCCGCAGAAACGGCCAATGGAACCCCTGGTCGACTTTGATATTCAGAACTCCTTCACTTCGGGGTGCTTCTCACCCCCTGTTTATCCAAGAGCTCGACATTGAAAGACTCCAGGTACTCTGCTTCACTTAGGGACGAAACGAGGTTGAGTTGAGCGGTAGGCTGGTGTGGGAGGTGTGATTCTGCCCCGGCGGAAGCCGCTTCAGCGACAAAATCGGACCTGAACCCCCCGAAAGGTTCGCAGATCAGTCAGAACTCAAGACAAAGCACTTTAAGTACTTCGGCCAGGGTTTCCTCCGGTGGCAGTTTCAATGGAGACCACCAGAAAATGCGATAGTTATTTCAAGGGAAATCTAGTGACCCCTGTCAGCGATAGTCCACTTGAGCTGCGTTTTTCCTTGTACACATTTGCATCATTTGCCATGCGCTTGTCTTTAGGAATGGGGTGATCGGTTCCCTTTGTTGGTTGGATGTGAATGTTGTTTTGGCTTCTTCCCTGCCACTCGCCGTTCATCCCGGCTCTTGTTGCTGCGGGATTGTGGGCGTGCCATTTTACATCACACCACGTAACTAGCCTTGTATGCCCCTTCATGGGAAGAAGCACTCATTGGGAAAGTTCTTCTTTTCCCAGTGGCAGCACAGAAGTTGTTGCCAATCCCGCAACTCTTTTAGAAGTGATGATCCGCGAACTACTACTTACCCCCTATCCGCTAGCTCCAAGGGATGATAAGAAAAAGAAAAGGAACCAAACAAAAAACCTAATTTGAGTGCTGGCCCGGCTTGAAAGAAAGAAAAGAAAACATGGTTTCCCCTAATTTGAGTGCTGGCCCGGCTTAGCAACTCAGTAACTCCACAGACGGACTCTGGAAACTGGGCAACACTTTCCAGATGTGTCCGACTTTCGGCGAAGCGCGGACTTGCCTTCGGTGTAAAACCCTCAAAATTCCCAGCCTTAAATTGGGCAAGAATTGCAACCCCAAATTGTGGCCTTATGTGAATTTTCAACTTTTTGATGGGTAGTTTGAGGGTCCAGGTAGTTTCAGCCCTGTGTGCTACCCGAATTTTATTGATAGGTATAGGAAATATATTTCGGGAACTGGCATTTCTTGGTAGTCTATTGATTTGGGAAGGGCATAGAGAAGCAAACTGAATCTCCCCACAACAGCCACGTCCAATTGTCTCACTTCCTGAGTTCCTGGAAATGATACATTTTTGTGAAATTATTTTGATAGTCAAAAATAGTGTGGGGACTTTTTGTTGGCCCATCCACTCGATCGGAAGTGAGTTGTCCCTTGTCCTTTTGGGAGGGCAAGTTGCTTTGCTCGTTTGGGCCGCTGGGGCCTTGCCTGATCACTAGAAACCAGCGAGCCAATTTCCTGGAACCTTTGGTTTGGTGGGCATTTAATTTTGGGCCGTTGAGAATTTCCTGGTTCGCTGGTTTCTACGATAGGTTCCTAGACCCTCAAAATCCCTTAAACATGGATTATTGCCCCACAATTTTGGGGTGAGTTCCTTTTTTTGTGTGGCTAGTTTGAGGGTTTATGTCATATTTGACCATGGAGGGATTCCTGGTTCGTTGGTTTCTAGGATCGGTTGCCGCATCGGCTCCGCGAGCCGCCTGCGAGTGGGCTCTATGAAGCGGTCAGGAGGGCACCACCCCGACCGGAGCCTATGAAGGCCCGAAATGTCGAGCGGGTCGCGTCTGGGCTTACCCCATACTTATCTCCCGGTTCCTGGACCCTCAAACTGCCCGCAAAAAAAGAAGAAGAGGAATTCACCCACCAATTTCTTTGGGGCAACAAACATGTTTTAAGGGAATTTTGAAGGTACTATCAGCTGTGGATGGACGAAATCCATGTCGCACCACCTTTGAAACCATGCGAAACCATTGTTTGTTGGCATTTGCAGGGGGAATCATGTCATTCCAGGGTTTCTTAGGTGGTGCGGAATGGATTTCATCCATCCACAGTATGTCACACAAAAAAGTTTTGGGAGTTTGACATCACATGAAACTGCCTGGCCAGTTGACAAGTTGATATTGAATTGTTCATGTATTCCCATTTACCAGTTGCCCCATTTCGGGGTGAATGTTGACCCCGGATCTAAGTAGAACCCCTGTTTATTCATATTGGGGGTGTCCCCGGTTTTGGTGTGGATTCAGACCACTTTTGCACAAGGGAGGTGTTGGAACTCTGTACAAGGGGCACGTCCCAGTTTGTTGGGTTGCCATGCGGGAAGGGGGGAGGAATTCCTTTGGGTGCCATGAAAATGCGACCCAAAATGGAGGGACCAGATCTTATCTTCCATTGGGGGGGGATTTCCCTTTGGGTGCCATTTCTGCTACCCAAAATAGAAGGACCAGATCTTATCTTCCTTGGTTTGATCCTGTTTTTGGGGGCATGTAGTTTTATCATAACATGTTTCCACGCCACGGCCAATGCGCCGTTTGGCTCAAGCTTTTAACTGTGGCAACTTCCGCCCGCCATAACGTCGGCGCTCCCTCGGCGGCACTCGCCATCCACCCGCGCGAGAACAAAGCGCGCTGCTGGACAGGCTGTGGCCTTGGTGGTTCTGGTTGTGGGTCAGGCTGGTGGGTTGACAGTTCGCTCTGGTTTGCTTTGCTTGCTCACTGTGCGCTGCTTTGTTTGCCTGCTTGGTTTGCTGCTTTGTGCTTGCTTTCGGTTGTCTCTGCCCTTGCTGGGTTTCTTTACCTTGTTACAACTGGCACCCTGTTTTGGTTCGTGTTTGGCCAGCCGGGGGCACCGCTTTGCCCTTGGGACTGGGGGACTTAAACAATCTCTTCTTGTTGGTGGGATTGGGCCTGTTTATTCTCTCCCGAAACTCTGTTTCAAACCCTTTCGCAGGTTATCAGCCGTAGGATTCGTCCTCGGTTGGCACCGCGAACCCCTTTTTAACAACCCTGCAGGTGTTGTAGGTTATTGTATATACGATGGCAGGAATCACTGAGGATGGAGCTCACGTGGTGACTGATGAATGGGTTCTCGGCCAGGCCGGAATCTTGGACGTTGTGAATGACGACCAGGTGCCCGGACAGCCGATGTTTTCCGGTCCTGATTTCTTGTCGGACCACACCTTTTCCGAAGCAATGCCTTCAGGAAGGTCCAGTGCTACTCGCACTGATGACCTATCGTCTAATGCCTCAAGAGCTAATCGCTCTCAGGGTCATGGGGCTAATCGTCCTGACCATAATGATTCCGTCTCAGGACGTGATGATGACGAGCCCGGTATTGCACCTGGAGCTCAATCCTCATCTTTCCCGGAGCTGATGAATATTGGTCAGTCCGAGTTTCGTGACTCCCGAGGCAACAGTAGACCTGTGCCAACCAGTAGCATAGTTTTTCAAGCGCTCGGTAATCCCGAACCTGGTACATCCAGTGGAGTTGCATTTGATGTTCATCTGCCGACCGAATCCGGTGGGCTCGATTGGAGAGCCTCATGGCCCAACGACGGAAACATTTTTGGTATGGATTTTGCCGCATGGATGCCAGGGCCACCCGCCCCGTCATCTTTCCCGCAATTCCAAAGCCCAAAACGGGCTGCTGGAAGCGATGAATTCATGCTACCTTTGTCGATTGAGAATCTCAATCCTGACGTGGCCAGCCGTAACGTCAGGCCAAGGCCGTCGGTAAACCCGACCATGAGGAACATGTCCCCTCCCCCAGGACTTTCAGGATTTGAGAGCCCTAGGGAGCGTAATATCGTAGATAGATTGGATTTGCATCCTAGTCCAACCCCAAGCAAACGATCAAGGTCAAATTCGACTGGATCGCATAGGGCTAGGGGGATGGATCGGGAAACTGCCCACAGGGGTAACCCCAGTGCGCGGGACTCAGGACGCGGTCGATCAGGTGATCCAGCGTCGATCGTTGGTAGAGACCCGTTAAACGCGGACACACTCGTTAACGTGCTTGATGGGATCGAAGCATTCCAGGAGGAATTTAATAGGTCAAGTGGCTTGAATGCCCAAGGTGTTCGCCCTACGCCCAATGCGGCTTCCATTTTCGCTCTGGACGACACGGACGGAACTAATGTTCCGATAGAATCTGAGTCCATGATGGCATCAAGTTCCAGTCGCAATCATACCATCAGTAATGCGACTGATATTGAGTCGATGTCTGAGTCTAGAGTGTCCAATGCGACCGACTTGAATGACATTGTTATTGCTGACTCGAGACCTGATGTTCCTATGCGGATGGATAGGCCTGTCGTTCCTAAACTGCCCGTGGCCAAAGGCCTGGGCATGACACAACACTCTGCGGTTCGTGATGCTAGGAGATCTGCTCCGTATCAGAGTCAATCTCCTAATCGGAGTGAGTTTCCACGACCATCAACGGCCGTGCAGGATGATTTCAGAACTCCTCCGAGATCTAATCCAATCATGGTTGATTTGTCCACCCCTCGAGATCGCGGATCAGGATTTGGTCCCGCGAGTGAGGAGCAACCCAACGAGGTTGCTGATCTTGTAACAGCCCTTGAAAGAGGGAGAGTGGACTCTTCGGTAAGTGCGATTATTCATCGCCTGGTTGCTAAGGTCGAAGACCTTGGACGTAGGAATGATAGAAGTGATCAATGCATCAAACAGCTCTCCACTGAGGTGAACTCGTGGAGAGCCAAATGCGACCAATGCGTCCATGTGAGTAGCACGTGTACGCAGGCTGCGACCGCGGCCATGCAGCTATCACAAGGGACTAAGGACATTGTGGCCGAGCTTGGCCAACGCGTCAAGATCGTTGCCGATCGCATGATAAGTATAGGCGATGCCCTAAACGAGCGGGCCAGCTATGATGATGTTGCTCGCTCCATCACCCAGGTTCAAACTGTTTTTGAATCTCTCTCTGATCGAGTAACCGGGCTTATAGCTCGTGTTGATATGATCGAGAGATCTCTAGTGGAGAGCCAATCCAACCATCCTGCTATTGGTGGGGTAAACCTCAAAATCGAGGACCTGTCCACTAGGGTATGTCAGATTGATAGGATGATGCAAGATGTCGAACAACGCTGGACCAATAATAGGGACGGCATAAAGTGGGTTAAAGACCAACTCTATGAGACACAAGCCAACCTTGAGATGAAGTCGAGGGACTGCAAATCCTACACGGACAAGCAAAATACTCATAACATGGCCGTTTCGACTACGCTCAACAGTAAGCTCGAGCAAATGCTCGAGGTGCTGGGCAATACGGCCCAGAGAATTAACTCCCTCGAGTCAAGGCACTCGAACCAGGCATCAAGTAGTGGATTGAACGATCACACAGGGGGAAGGCGTGCCGCGTCCCGTACTCCGGATAAGCGGCCTCCTCCACCTGGCCCTCCTGATGGTGATCCTCCACCACCTCCTCCTCCAGATTGGCAAAGCCCAGGAGGAGGGGGGAAGAAGAGTGCTGCCGGTGGGAACCCTGGCAACCCTGGTAAACCCAGATGTAAGTACGTAGGTGATGGATATAATCATCTCGTGGCTGAGTTTCACTGTAAGGGATGCAAAGGTGATATTTGTGAGTATTGTTTCTCATTTAAAGAGAACCTGTGTGAAGAATGTTCCCGTAACGGACCCCGATGCGGTGTCTGTAGGGAGAGCTCGTTCCTGACCAAGGGAATTGAGTGTCAGTTTTGTAAGACCTACTACTGCACCAGACATTCTGCTGGGCAGGATGACTACAGGAGATTTGGATTGTCCAGGGTCCCTGTTGTCTTGCGTGCCTTAGGGACGAGACTAGGAGAAGAAGGGATCCCGATGGTAACCGTGTCAGGAATAGGTCGCTTGGAGGCGTACCTGAGACGAACCCGACGCGGTCGTTCTCGCCGCCTCTGCGGCCACCCGTTGACAGATTCCGTGACACCCCAAATGGGGGTCAACCCAACGCGGCTAACCTTCAGAGTCCTCCGAAGGCTACGCAATCCGTACCCCTGGATAAACGTGAAACCGGATATTATCCAGGATTTGATCCCAACGGTACAAGGCCGAAGGATCCTTCGGGCCTTGAGCCGCCGACCATGCGTGGCCCTGATCCTCCTGACAAGAAATGTCGGATGTGTGATCGGGATATTCCTGACCCTAGCAAAATTGAGGAATGTAAGGTATGCATGAAAAGGGCATGTGAAATTTGCATTCCGAAGGCTACTCGCCTTTGTCCTGTATGTGCATTGTCAATCGGTAGTTCTCAGGTTCCGCAGCATCTTTTCGGAACTGGTGGCGGCGGATACAGTAGCCACCATGATCCGAACTGTACAGCTGCGACTAAATGCATTTCCATAGACCTCCCGCCAGAGCCCGACGCGGCTGGGGTGAGGGTATGGATAGCCAATATGAAGGAAGCTGTTAGCAATGCCTACAGCTATGATGGACTTTACGTCATCAATTGGCTAACTGAAGTCGAGAAGGCAAAGACCTTTGATGAACTGGATGGGGAATGTAAGTACCACATCCTTGAAGCCAGGTTCAATGCAGCCATTCGGAAGTGCATCAAGACTGTTGCGATCATCGATAAGATTAATCGTCTCACCGAGGCCGCTCAACGCTCCAACAATCGCATCAAGAGTAGGCAGATCCTGTGGCTCTTATACGACCACTTAAGGACTGCGAATATCGGAGAGCAATCGTTCAGGATTATCGAGCTCTCAAACTTGCGATGCAGTGTGTCATCTTTCTATACTGAAGA